GACAACGCTACAACGTTCAAGGCGGCATAAAACAAACTGATTGTGCCATGGATGTTCAATCATCCAGCTGCACCACGGCATGGAGGCTTCTATGGGCGAATGGTTGGTACGGTGAAGAGTGCCTTGAAGAAGGTAATAGGAACAGCGTTCCTGAAGGTCCAGGAGCTTGAGACCCTCTTGTATGAGGTTGAAGCAGTGGTGAATAGTCGTCCGCTAACTTATGTGTCTGATAGCCTGGATGAGCTACCAGTGATTCCTGCAATGATGATGGGTAACATCTGGATGTCGTCAGAAAAGCCAGCAGTTACCCTCGACGCTACGCAGATGTCATCGAGATTGCGCTACCTCAGTCGCACACTGAAGCATGTCAAGAATCGTTGAGAGGTGGAGTACCTAAGTCAGCTGAACAAGCACCAACAGACCATGTCGCGCCCTTTAGCTGTGGGTGATGTTGTCTTTGTCCTTGATGAGACCAAGCGCAAGCAGTTCTGGCATTTGGGACGGATCGTCGAGCTATTCCCTGGTCGAGATGGTAAGCATTGTGTTGCCAAGGTTAAGTACCAGTACTCTGTTGTGGCCGATCCAGAGGCTAGTGCTATTAGAAGTATACTCACAAGACGTGGCTCCTGGGCCTGACGATGCCGCACAACCTGCTATCGTCCAGCAGCAACTAGCGTCTGTACATTCAGCACCGGTGCTACCACCACCAGCGCAGCAGGAGATGACGCACTATGGGCGCGTAGTCAGAGCCCCGGATCGTTTTTGACTTGTGTGAGTTGTTGTACGGCGGTGAGAAGCCCTTTGGTGGGGAGAATGCTACAAACCACCAGTTCTCAAGTGGGAAAGGCCTTCTGGCTTATGACATTGTATTCGTTGCGATGTTGTATCTCGAGGCCACCGTACTGCTGATGTTTGCTGCATGGCGTACGCTATTTGCACTGTGTGCGCGTTTTCCTGTATATGCTGTCATGTCATGTTTTACATGCATATGCTTTGATTATACAAGTACACTGTTTTTGCATGCTATAAATAGCTGGAGTTATTAGTGTTAGTTAGATTCAATGGAAGTCAAAATATACTGTTGAGAATACAGTGAGTATGGTTTATAAAGTAACGATATACCGGCTATAATGATAGAACTCGCCAAAATCAAAATCAAATCACAAAAAAATACAGCTAAAATATCACTATACACACTATTATCGGCTATACGGATATATCGCTTATTGGTATGGGTTTCAGGAAGCAAACCATATCAAATGCACAGGAAAATATTGCATTAAACTGATCAAGAGTGATGATCACAAAACAAGTGTTCTTCCAATATAGTTCACTTCTTCCAAAACTGATCGAATGTTGACTAGATGCACCTGGCAGCAGACATGATTGAGAGAATTTTTTTCCTGTATGCTGTAAGCAGCCACACGTACACATGGCTGCTTTTTATGCTTTTTCCAGCATGTGCGCATCATTTCATGCACAGTCATGTGCCATGTGTCAGTCATACATGCAAATCGGCTATAGTAATGCACCGGGTATAGACACAGTGATAAATTATCGAAAATCAAAGGGGCACGTTATATCCACTATTTACTGTAAATAGTTGTCCTCGAGCCGTGTGGTCGTTCGTCCTGGATACTTAAGAGAACCAGACGGTGCACAACAATATGAGAAAATGGAAACTTTGCCGTACAGGACGACTCTTGTTCTCAATTGCATTGTTCGTTTCATTCCTTGTATTGGCCATAAGAAAAGGGAGGAAAACGTTCATCAGATGTTTGTTGTCTTCTGGCGTGGAGTGGCGTCGTCATTAGATGTACACATAGTCGTTTCACTGAGGACACCACTACTACAGCATATGTACTATTCTTAGGCTAGCGTGCGTGCGAGTGAGTTTAGTATGTGTGTATGTATGTGTGTGTGTGTGTTGTTGTTGTTGTGTTTGTGGGTGTGTGCACGCACATGCGCGCGTGCATGTGGGTGAAGGTGTGAGTGCATGTGTATGTGTAGTTCCCACTGTATTCCTTGCACAATAGTTCTTCACTTACTTTCCTTCGCATACAACAAGAACCCATTCCCCGTTCGAAATTAGAATTTGTTTGGCCTGGTGATCCCGCAAGCGTGGAACTCGGAGTTGTAATACATTTTTGTTTCACCTTACTTGCACTATTCTTAGGCTGTCCAGACTTCTAACAACTGCTCTGAGTGATATGATATTCATGCAACCATGTCTAAAAGTAGAGTAATTGTTATAAATAGAGACATATCCACGCAATCAACTGTTACTTACGCTGGTTTAGTTTGGCAGGATTGGTCAGACAGTTCGTCGTGCATGCTGCCTGCAATCGCAAGCAAACAGTTCTGTAACCTTCGTTCTTGCTGGGGTCTGTCTATTTGCGTCCCAATTGATGACAGATGTGCACAGTTTGAGTACTGGTATGCGCAACGTTACTGGGATAATATCATATTGTTCATCAGCTAGCTGCAGTCGGAGTTGATGGGGTGATGCGCTCTTCTGATCCTGATGGTACGTACCTCGTCCTGCTTTCAGTTGCAGCTTGTTGAGTTCGCTTTGCTGGAGGCTCACGGTTCGGAGGGCACTGGTACACTGATGAGGGCTTTCCTGGATGGCGTACTCGTCAAAACTCAGCTCTCAAGTCCCTCTGGATCATAAATGCAGCGAGCAAACATAGCTCGTGCTGCGAAAATAGGCTTGAATTTTTCACGACGTATTGCAACATCTCGGCACTTTGGCAGGTCTCCATCCTTTGGCAATCTGAGAAAACTAACCCCAGGAGGATAATGTGATACTGGCACAACCAACAACACAACAATTTGGCATCGCAGCGGCTCAGGCGACTTGACGAACTACTTTCTGAAGTGACTTTTGTCCTGAAGAAAGTGAGATTCAGAATCCAAGTATTTTCGCACCGTGCCACAATGACGTCACACATACATTGGTATAGGGGTGTGTATAAAATTGAAATATCTCAAGAATGCTTTGTTGTAGAGACTTTGGACCAAGACCATTCGACTCAGAGCCCAAAACTCTACAGGATATCAAATTTTCATTTTTTCGTGCAGTTCCCCTTTAAGTCCAGAACGTTTTCTTGTCACAATCATGAGTTGAATGTCGCGACTAAAGGAACATGGGAAACAAGCTAAGAATATATAAGTTCAGAAACCAGAAAATGAATGTGTCAAAACAGCAACAATTGTTATTGGTTAAGAACGATAACGCTAGTGATGTGTGAGATAGATACATGGTGAGTATTGTGCAAAGTTAGGCAGACGGTTGTATGTGAGACAATGTGTTGATAACAGTAATCAAATTTTAATCTTGGGTGGCGAAACAATAATATTCATGTTAAAGAGTAAGGGCCAAAATGTTACGAGTTTTGACCATGATCCACCAATGTAACGAGATAATAAATGTAATAGGTAGCCGAGTGGAGGCACAGTGCTTAACACTAATTAAATTTTACTTAGACTTCCTCACGTACACCACCTGGATTATTATGTTAAAATAATATGAAAACAGAAATGCACAGCAGCTTTTATAAGCAACAGACTACATACGCTAACGTACCGGGGATACGCTACAATCAAGCAAGGCAGGGATACTACAATAGTCAGCTACAATCCAGCAAGGCAGGGATACTACAGTAGTCAGCTACAATCAAGCAAGGCAGGGATACAACAGTAGTCAGCTACAATCAAGCAAGGCAGGGATACTACAGTAGTCAGCTACAATCAAGCAAGGCAGGGATACTACAATAGTCAGGTACAATCAAGCAAGGCAGGGATACTACAATGATCAGCTACAATCAAGATAAGCAGGGATACTACAGCAGTCAGCTACAATCAAGCAAGGCAGGGATACTACAATAGTCAGCTATAATCAAGCAAGGCAGGGATACTGCAATAGTCAGCTACAATCAAGCAAGGCAGGGATACTACAATAGTCAACTACAATCAAGCAAGGCAGGGATACTACAATAGTCAGCTACAATCAAGCAAGGCAGGGATACTACAATAGTCAGCTACAATCTAGCAAGACAGGGATACTACATAAACAGTCAGATAGTGCGACAACAAGATGCTAAACTGGCAGAGGTACAGTCGAATGTCACCTATCCGGTCGCCAGTTGTCCGAGTACGTCGGTTATCCGACGAGCCCGGGAGTGGTAATTTTATGACTCTCAAAAGTAAAATTATTTAAAAAACTTTTTTGTGTGTATATTATATGGTGTAATAATGCATTTACTTGAAGTAGGTGTGGTCAAGTATGCTAACATGTACATGTATGTGTACATGGAGCAATTCATGAACATGCATGAATATATTTGGGTATTGTGTACATAAATCAGTGAAATCCAGCCATATATGCACATAAAAAATGATATCAGTTATCCAACATGTTCAGTTATCCAACATGCCTGATTCCCGAAGTGGCCGGATAAGTGACAGTCGATTGTACTGAGATATTGAACGACCTGACACCTAGCTGCAACGAATCTGCAAATTGAAAAATACCAACTGTCTTATATTACTTGGAAAGCTTACGTGCGGAAAGATCCAGTGGGGGGAAGAAAACGCAACAAAGATGTGCACGAGGTATATCCCTCGGGAGCAAAGAACGTCGAAAGCTACAGGATGATAAGGAGATTGGTAAGACCATTGGACAAGCCGGTCTAACTACAACTCAACAACGCGAATCAACCAATGACGAATTACATTATTATCTCTGACCAATACCATACTTGAAGTATACATTAAATAAATTGTACAATTTTCTGATCACAAGACATAGTTTGGCTCCGCTATTATAATGTGGGAGTTGTTATAATTCTCACAACGAGCATTACAAAAGTCATTAGTTTCTTGAATCTGCAAAGTATTCAAAATCAACTGCTGTTCTGGTTTACAGAGCTATATGCAATGTTTACTAAGAGGTCTGTTTTACTTTCTTGTTGATTTACCATTGTTCATTCTACCAGGATAACATGACATGCCTGGACCTTGCAGTAGCAAGCTGTTACTCCAGCCAAGCTATACCTAACTTAAGGGCTATTATCCGCCATCTTGAGAGCCAGTACCCAGAGGAGGAGGAGAAGGTAAGCGCAACTTAGAAGAAAAGAAAATACATGAAAAAGAATTTCCCATTCGAAAACTTGCGTAACCAATGAGGTAACAATATCACTATATTCCCTCCATACACTCACACAAAAAAGCCTCCCTGCTGCAAACACCGCTTTTGATTCACCAGATATTCAGGCATGGCTCAGTATCAGGTTACTGGTTCAAACTAATGATGGGATATGCCCAAACATTTAGTGACCCAAATGTGGCGTTCGCAGCAGAAACGTCCCTGTGTGGGTGTTTGGAATGAGTGCAATATTGTATGAATGGCTGCTATGCAGTTTACTAAGACTGCAGAAAAGATGCAATAGTTGCAAATATGAATAGTGTTAAGTACCGTATTTTCCGGGGTATAAGCCGCACTTTTTTTCGCTAAAAATCGGACCAAAATCGCCCCTGCGGCTTATACACCGAATATGCTTGCGCGAATGAATGCTTAGCATACATCGGTATGCATGCTGATGTCATGTGACATGTCATTCGACTCAGCTTCGCGCCTGTGTTGCTATCCCGGCACTTTTTAATACTAGTTTTAGTGCGCGGGCTACACCATACGGTACGCGTATACGGGGACTATTTTTTGCGTACTGGAAGTGCCGGTTTCCACACATCCTAGTAAACAGCGATACGATAATACTACTTTTTGTGTATAAATAGTGTCGACTGGAATCTTTCCATATTGTGAACAGGGTACTCCCTGGCCTGGTACATAGCTGTAACGGAACGAATGTTTGTTTCCAAACATTTCAATTCGTCTTTCAGTCGTTCAGATTATTTTGTTTCTTTAGCTATTCTTGCCGGTACTTCGATGGTGTCCTGGAGTTGACCATGCCGCGGCGGACAACATACTCCGTGAAGGAGAAGATACGCGCTCTGCGCTTCGCCGAAGCGCATGGAAATCGGGCCTGCGCGAGACACTTCGACATCGATGAGTCGAGGGTTCGTAGGTGGCGGAAACAGAAAGTCGAGCTGTCGAAGAAGAAAGTCGCGTCCAAATCGCTACATGCTGGACACGAGCCACGATGGAATGAACTTGAGCGTAAGGTTTTCGAATGGATCGAGAAAAATCGACAAGATGGGATTGGATTGAGTGGCACAATGATTCGCCTAAAAGCGAAAGTCTTCGCAAAGGAGATGAACGCCGTAAGTTTCAACGCAACTGTTGGTTGGTGCTATCGTTTCATGAAGCGACATAGCCTTGTTATCCGGACGAAGACTCACCTAGGCCAGCGACTGCCGGACGAGTTTGCGGAGAAGATTCTGTCCTTTCGGCGCACCGTCATCAGGTTGAGAGAACAGAACAAGTATCCGCTAGATCAGATTGGCAATATGGATGAAACGCCTCTGAACTAGGACATGCCCTTGTCCCGCACTATCAACAAAATCGAAGCGAAGACTATTCACATCAAAACGACAGGGCACGAACGAGAGCACTTTACTGTGGCTTTAGCATACCTTGCCGATGGGACAAAGTGGTGCACTAACACTTCATAATCTGATCTAACATGGTATTAGCTCCATAACCATAATAAATTTGTAGAAAGGCCATTTGTCAATGAGTGTGAAAAATCTTGGTTTGTGGGTGCGGCTTATACTCCAAATACCAACTTTAAGTCAATATTTTGCCTCAAAAAGGGGGGTGCGGCTTATACCCCGGAAAATACGGTATAACCTTCACACAATTCTCCAGACACAACAGACAACGGGATAGGTAGGTAGAACGACATTGATTGCGGTAGACGAAGAGACGGAGACAAAGACGAACTACTACGACTACATTATGGGAGAGAGAGAGCGAGTCGAGAGAAGAGCTTGCAAGATAAAGGGCCTGGGTAGCTATGGCAAAGATGGGTGCGCAAGTAGCTACCCAGGCCAACGGAACGAGAGGTGAGTATGAATACTACGAATACGATGTGTACAATTACAGCTACATGCATGCAGGCCAACCACAAAAGGTACGGGAGGAGGTACCTAACAATAGCAATGGGTACACTCAATTGTCTCTTATCCGGACGCCTCAGATACTGGCACGCCTCTCTACCGGGCACCTTTAGCTTGAGTTCCTATGGCAAAACTGCTTCCAATTTGGGGGTTTGAATTATTTTTCGTGTACACTAGTGTCAGTTTATCACTGCCCACCTGTGTAATTCACTCATTTTCATCAAGACATAATAATTAGGGGTGAAACGAAGGTCTCAATTTGCCAAACAAACCTTCTTCATGAAAACGAACGCAGGTGTCGAAGGATTCTTTTACCAGTTGACAGTTCCTCTTGAAGCACACTCTGTGCATCCTCTTGAAGCATCGTGACTCTGTGCATGTGCCCTACAAAGTACATGACTGTGCACATTTTTGCTGTGCAGTCACCACAATTGGCATGCCCAAAGCTTTTGCACTGCGCAGTTTGCACCCTAAACTGCCCAAGACTACTTCTGCACACCTTGGCCGTGACTGGCCACGCTCAAGCGCAGTCCGTGGCCTACTATGGACTTGCAGTGGCACCTACCGGGAGCCAACTGGACACAAAACTGGTCGACTGTACAAACTACAGTACAGTACCTCCTGTATACGAGGAAGATCAGTGCATGTATGTACAGAAATCGTGTGTTGACCTTCTTTTGAAGTGAAATCGAAGGTTTGTTTCAAATGAAAACGAAGGTTCTTCGAACCTTTGACACCTTTGTTTCACCCCTAAGACATATTTTTTATCCTGAATACGTGTAATATGTGCCAAAAACACTTCTTCAAAAAGTGATATAATACATGGTGGCCGAGCGGTCCTGAGATAACGGCAAACCTGAGATACGGGCAGTGACGTTCGAGCTTATACTGAATCGCTCACTCCAGCAATAATATTTATTAAAAGAGAGCATATCTGAGAAAACCAGAAAATTTGTGCAAGTCGATCTCTCCAATTACGCTCACAATTTGGAGGTAAGTTTCATTTGGGGTGTAGATTGACTTTGCAAATCATGTGCCCCGTGACACCAGAATGCCAGGTCTGGTAGATCACGGTTCAGCAGTTTTTCTGAGTCACCTTGATCAAGTGTACGTGCACTTACAAGGATCGCCTGTTGATATTTAGATTGGATCACATGCATTTCGATGCCCAGTTTAAGAGCACGCTGGTCGCGTTGTAGGCCTTCCAACCGGGACTTCCCTCAACATGCAGCGCAGAGACTAGGGTGAGTAGGGGTCAAATTGCGTTGTTCACCACGTAAGAAATCTGTGATGTCGGCATGTCACGTACCACATGGAATCAGTGTAGCCTGGGCTGGTCAACTCCAAGCGACCTTGATGGCATGCTCGATGGTCATTCCTTGCTGTTGCAGATCTACATCAAGCATCAGCATGTAAACTAGCAACGGTTCCTGTTGAGCCATGTTCGGGGTGTGCGAGGTTAGTGTGAAATATGCATACAGTCAACTTCGCCAATAACGACTGCGGATATAACGACAATTCGCGCATAACGACAGAATTTCCATGCCCAGAGCAAAGTCCCATCCCACTGTAATACATATAATGAGACTTCGGGTATAACGACACTTCGCTAATAAGGACACCTTTTTGACGCCCCACCGAGTGTCGTTATAAGCGAAGTTGACTGTACCAGTTCTTACTGCAAGAGGACATATCTCAAAGACGTCTTGCTAATGCAATACTGCTAACGCTGTAACGATAGTTCCTGTGGGTTCTGAGCCGAGCATGCAGGGAATATGATGCGTCTTACCTTCTCCATTATGGTCCGTTCCGAATAGCACATCAGGAACGATCGTGATCTTGTGTACTGTGTCGTGAACTGGAAAGCATTATTCTACATCATGAAGCATGTGATTTCATCATTCCTCTTGCCGTAGAATTCAAAAACTACACGCCAAATAGTCACTTTTTGCATCAAATGTTGCACCGAAAAATGTTGGAAGCGCAAGAAGAAGCTTATCGTTTGGAGTGGCAAGTTATCACCGCTCCTTTTCCTTGTCAGAGTCAACAATACACTTTGTTTTGCAGCTGGTCTACAAAGCCGAAGTGACACGCCGTAATGTTAAGGCCCACTTCAGACTAGGTACAAAACAGCCTATAATTCACATTTACATAGAAGTTTCCAAGACAACGACAAGAATCTGGTGGGGAGCGTAAAAAGCTGCCCAAACCTTTCAGGCAAGGTGCGAACCCTTGTACAAGGCAACTTTCCTGCATTTATCGTACTTTCTCACCAGGTAGTTAAACAAACGTACAGACTTTGAACCTGGGTACGACTGCCGGCTGCTTTCACACATCCCGGGTCCATTGCGCAATATCGTAGGGTCAAAGGTTGCCTGTATATTGCATGTAAAATGTGTAGTCTGAATACAGGCTTTGAAAAATGTTGCCTTTTAGGTTTTATGTGATTTTGTACTGAATGTTCTATGTACGTAGTCTGCAGAGGGACTAACCCAGCACGTGTGTACTTCGGAGCGACAGAGCCAACGTTCAAGACCCGGTACGGAAACCAGAAGTAAACATTCAACCACGAGCAGGGACGGAAGAGCACCGAACTATCCAAGTTTGTCTGGAAATTGGCGGAGAGACAGGAAGACTACTCGATCCAGTGGAGTATTTCAGAACGAGCACAAGCCTACGCCAACATCAGCAAGAGGTGCCAACTTTGCCTCTCGGAGAAGTTCCGATCATAACCGCGGATAAAGAAACATGCCTGAACAAGAGAAGCGAGCTCATCTCGAAATGTAGACATGCCAGCAAATTCTCGCTCACAAACTACACATGATGAGATATGCTGTGTTCCACACACACACACACACACACACACACACACACACACACACACGCACGCATGCACGCGCGCACACACACACACACACACACACACAAACACACACACACACACACACACACTCTATCTCTCTCTCTCTCATGCACACACATGTACACCCTCACTCTTTCACACTCACACCAAACCACATATTGCACGCCATTACCCACACAGGTATCTGCTATGTAACACATACTACCCAGCCCTTTGGCGTGACACAACTACCACTGAAACCTACTTAATTCCTGCATCGGTTCTACATGTAACTCCCATCTTGGTTATAGCAATATACCTCAGCCATGACACTTGCATTCATATTACGCACAGTGTATTCCAGGGCTGATGTTATCTCCTCAAGCTTCGTGGTTGCAGCACTGCCTTAGCCTACATTACAATTACCCTATATAACTAGCAAATAGCATTATTATGTTTTATCGTCTGATGAGTGTTTTTTGAAACACGAAACTCAGAGTTACGAGAAAGGTTTTTGGTCTCTGTTGTTCTGCCTCGTGTGGTAAGCGCTGCACATGTTGAGGTATTGAGCATTATTTGCAGCAAAGACCCCAGACACTTTGTTATAATGTACTACGTATACATGTATATTAAGTTAAGGGGGCGTTCGAATTGTCTTCTTCAACTGTTCGAAAAAATTTTTTTAAAGAGATTAGTTGAAGTGTCCCATTAGACCGTTTTCTATCATTTCAGAGCTTTCAGTGGAATTGTCGATGACGTCCGATAAGATCGACCATCTCCACGCACTTCGTGATGTAGCTATTGGAAACTCTTCGGAAGAAAAGTCAAAGAATGACAATTCGAACAAGCCAGAAGTGAATAGTCACAAAGAAAAGTATTCCTTTTTGCTCACGGTACCCTGTCCGTGACCGACTTTCCTGGCACCTCACTTCACTCCAACCATGTTTCTCTACGGACTATTCTCTACCAACCACCTGTCCTCTTCCTTATTCCTACTTTTACGTAATTATGTCATTGTGTTTCCTGTGTGTTCTATTGGCAATGTAGGTAATGGAAATTGTTCGACATGCCGCTTACAAGGAGACCGCTGCGCCTCGAAACCGTCGTTTTCTTCAGGTAAAATAGAGAAAAGACAAAATGTTACGAGTTATGAATAACTGTGCATCGATGTAACCAGGTATTATACCGTCAGCAAGTGTGACGAAAGGGCACAAAACTGATAAGGAGTACTTAGCTGAAAAACTGACAAGGAATGCTCAGCTTCCCCTTCCATGCTTACCATATCAACTTGAACCTCCCAATTTAGGTGGTCTGTTACTTTGCGTCATTGAGTTGTAGTAAGACCAGTATGTCCAATTGTCTTACTATTCTCGTCTTCATCCAGTAACGTTCGGCATTCTTTGTTGCTGTGGGACAGAGTCCATGCTCATCTTCATTGCGCTTTCCTTCCCCTCTTTGGATATTTCCTAACCTGAGCCTCCCAAGTTGGAATGTTGTTGTTTACACATCTTAGATGTGTTGGAGTGAGGTGTTAGGTCGTTGAATGTCTCAGTACTGCTTGTCAGTTTTGTGCCCTGATGTCTCACTTGCTGACGGTGTATTATCTGATTGCACTGTGGGACAGTTGGTCATAACTTGTAACATTTTGCCTTTTATTTATTTTTTACATGATTACATTGGCTACACATCCGAGCTCGTCAGGTAAAGTCATTATTATCTGTTATACTGAGTATTCCAAGTATCCCGTTGCTATGGAGAGTATCGTGACAATTGAGGTCATTCGCTGATGTTATGTTCATAATAATTGTTAAAAAAAGGATGAAGTTTCGTTTTCAATCCGTGCATATAGTAAAAAGTCGTCTGTACTTTCAATACGCTTCACAAAGCTATCACCGACTCATTTTTTCGATGTCCGCCATCCTAGTTTTGAAAGTAGCAAGAATCTTCATAGATTCATTTCCTGCCTGTGTTTAAATTCAGGCAAGTACATGTGTGCAGTGCATGCCGCTTGCCGAAAGAACTATAATAGCATGTGGACAAGCTGATCTTCTCATTTACATTGTCCGACTTATAAAAAAATTCATCCCCACAAAATGTTCTCCTCACATACTTTACTGTCCAACAGATGACCACTGCCAACTATGGAGCATTATCATCTTCACAGCTGTTTAGGAAAATTTGCCTTCAACACTTATATCCAGTAATTGTTATAATTTACTAAGAAAATGGTGGACATCACGCAACTGCATTAGAACGGAAAGGGGGTTTATCAACTGACAACCGCTCTATTCAGTTGCTATTCACAGTGAGTGGCCCGAAACGTCACAATATTTTGACGTCACTGATAAAGAATTTTCATCCAGCGCATGCGCCACGTGTGAATAGCAACTGCATTGAGCGATTGCAAGTTGCCCCTATTCTGTAATTGTTCTTGTGTGTATTATATATACGCAGACTTACCTTCAGCTGGAGGAATTTTATTCCGAAGGCCAAGTGGACGCTAACACTCTAGTTGTTCTAGTCAGCGGGGAACAACTTGTTGGGAAATCCACACTGATCAAGACATTGAGAAAAGAAGAAAACAATGGCACATCAAACGACTCGAAACGAACCCGAGGCATCCAGGTGTCCAACTTCACGGATGAGCGTGGTCAGCATTTGCGTATCAAAGATCTCGCTGGGCAGGATGCGTTTTCAGCGACACACGACATTTTCTGCCTATCCACATCAGTACCAAGCCTCGGTCTTGCTGTTGTCAATAGTAAATGGGACGCGAAACGGATGACAACAAGCATAACCACCACAGCTGGTCGGTTTTTGAGCCGGATGCCGCCATCGGTAACATCAGGTCAGTGCGATACTTTATCAAATGCGTTTTTGTTAATTTTTGTTTGTGTCTGTTGATCCGTATGTCGGCATGTACTGTAGCAGACATGGAAATTCAGTTGATTGACCGGGGCCGGCACCCTCAGCGCCTACAGAACACTGCGTGCAGTGCACAGTCATGTTGATCCGATGTGACCAGCGCGCTGCAGCGCATGTGTGTACCGCTTGTCCACGGCTGCATGGCGAGTGCCCTGGGGCCGCAAGATGTGTGACCGGATTTCCATGTCCACGACAGTACATGCATGAATGAATGATTAGGGCATGTGTTTGATTCTGTACACTGGTGCAGGGAGGGCACTGTGTGTGTGTGCATGCAGGCATGTATGTGTGTGTGTGTGTGTCCCATATGGTGCAGTGGTATGTGCAGCGATTTCCAATCGATAGGTTGCGGGTTCGATTCCCGACGATTATGGTCACACGTCTTTCTTCTCTTTCTCAGACTCTTCCTGACTTTTCTTTCTTTCTATTGGGTGGTTACCAACAGCCAGTGCATGCCGGAGTATGTGGTGTGGTGTGTGTGTAGAAAAAAGAAAAAGAAATAAAATGGAAAAATGAAAAATAGGGATTCACTGGCCAGAAAAAGTCACTTCAAACAGCTGTGTGGTGGATACCAGGCTAAAATAGTGGCGGTCAATTCATCAGCCTTGCAAGCTGTTGAATGGTGTAATCCCAGCACAAGAAAGTTGCTATGTCTAACATAGCTGTTCGCTATCATCGCTCCCGCGATGGGCATGTCTGAGGTCTGAGGTGTGTGTGTGTGTGTGTGTGTGTGTGTGTGTAAAAAATGGAAAAATGAAAAATAGGGATTCACTGGCCAGAAAAAGTCACTTCAAACAGCTGTGTGGTGGATACCAGGCTAAAAATAGTGGCGGTCAATTCATCAGCCTTGCAAGCTGTTGAATGGTGTAATCCCAGCACAAGTTGCTATGTCTAAAACATAGCTGTTCGCTATCATCGCTCCCGCGATGGGCATGTCTGAGGTCTGAGGTGTGTGTGTGCGTGTGTGTGAGTGTGCATGTGTGTGCGTGTGTGTGCATGTGTGCGTGTGTGTGTTCATGTGTGTGTTATTTATAGTGGTGTGCACGGGTAGTCGGATACCCATGCAACCTGTGAGGACCTCGGGTAGACGGGTACAGAATAGTACCTGAAAACCTGAAGTCGCTGATGGCATCATGTACAGTGCACATGTACAAATTCATGTAGTACTCCCCATTTCTATCTAGTGTGTAATGGAAGGGTGCATTGTGGTGTCACCATGGAAACATTACCCAATAGGGTATCCGTGCAAACCGTGGAAAACTACCCAAACCCGATAGCTGAAGAAAAGTCTACCTGACTCGGCCCTAGATATTCATCTCTCCGTGCATGGTAAAGGCCTGCAATAAGTCCCTGGGTAGACACATTGGTGAAGGTCCAGAACATGTGCGTCAATTTGGGCCCGGGAGCATATGTGGTCCCGCCCACATTTTGGATGCATGAAATCAGACTGTTTTTCACATGAACAAACAGTTTTATTCACAAGTGCTGTACACTGTACTTGTTGTGAACCATCTGGTTCTCTCAAGTATCAGAAACGAACGACCACATGGCACGAGGACAACTATTTAATCTTGACAGTACATTTCCCTTCGATCAACTAATGATAATGAATAACTAACACTAAAACCACCCAGTAGTTATAGCGTGAACATGACAGCGTATACGAGAAAAGCATACACATACAACATACAACTACAGCGCGCACAGCAAACCGCACCCAGCGCCTGTAGCGTATACCACGTCGTAAACACCAGCAGTACGGCGGAGTCGGGATACAAATGCATTGAAACGAACACAATGTCAAAAGCGAGAAGGCCTTTCACTCTTGAGAACTTGTGGTTTCGCAACAGTACTAACGAATTGTTACTGCACATCAAGCTGAACATGCACTGCCCCATGTACTGGGTCTTTCCTTTTGCCCATGCGTGTTTACACGGAGGCGGTCTAGAAAATGAGATAAGAGTGTCGACACATGGCATATGGGCGCGTCCACGGATAGTGGACATTATAAAAATCTTCAAGTTATTCCGAACTTTCCAGAGTTGGACTTTTCACGCTGTGTGTGTGCAGTGGTTAACAGTTTTACCACACAGAGCACTATGGTCTGTGCATACAGTTATGTACCACTACCAGTCTACTTGATACCCACACTATCATGCTACATGAATCACGTGGCACAAATCCACAGACTTTTCACGTGCACATACATGCAGTCAGGGAAAGTGAGCTTTGTGTTTGAGAAGGAAATTAATTATTTTATTTTTGGGCATGGAATAGACCGCCTCATCTTTGCTGCAACAATGAGTCCACAACTGACAAGTGAGAAAACAGCAAACAGCTTCTGGATCGAAAACGTTCAGATCCTTTATTGTTGAGAGCCTTGAATGGAAGAGCCGTGCCCTTGGTTCAAATATTCTGCTCTCTTCTCCAATTGAGCAACGTCCGAAATGTCCATACATTAATTGTCTATGCCCGATGGAGGCCAAGATTTTCGGAAACATTCAGAGAACTCGCATCTGTCTTCTCCATCTCCAGACTTTGCTCTCCAGAGATCTGATAATAGAATCAGCCTGGTCGGCATTAGCTGCTTCTTCTTTGTTTGTCGCAGAAACAGCAGCGCTCACTTCTGACTGGCCTGTGCCGCCACTTCTCCAGTAGATTACCAAGGTTCTCAGCCCGAGACCGAACACATGGAGGTCAGGCATGGTTCCATCCTCACTCACGAGATATATCTTCGAGGCCGCTCATAACACCCTAGTACGTACTATCGGTCGCCAATTCATTTGAAGTAGCATTAGCACAATTGCTTTAAAACACTCTTTTGACCATTTTTTAGCTGCATGCTATGATATTGCAGAGAGTGTGTTGCTTAAAATCACCTTTCCTCAAATCTCCTCACCACAAATTATATATTTTTGTTTGCGTTTCCCATCTCTTGTTGTTGCAAATACAGACCAGCCGTTCAATGTCATGATCATTGCGACCTTCCGCGACGAGATTAAGAGAGAGGATCATGGAAAACTTGCTGCAAAGCTTGCCACAAGCTATAGTAGTGTCGAGAAGGAGTTTGGTGATAAACTCCACTTTCGAGGACGCTTTGCTATCAATGCCACCATCAATGACGCAGACTTCGATCGCCTGAGAGTAAAACTTTCTGAGGTCTGCAGAGATATCTTGAGCGTAAGTAAAACTGTAAACCAGATTTCAATTACTACTAGTGGAGAAACTAGGGGATAGTAAAGGGATCAGGAAAGATAAAGTGTGATAGAGAGAGGCAAAGATGCAAAGATGGAAAGATGGAGAGAAAGAGGGAGAAGGATAAAGAGAAAGATAATGAGAACGAGAAAGAGAAAGAGAAAAAACAAGAGAGAAGAGAATGAGAGAAAGAGAGGCAGAAAGAGATGAAGAGAAAGATGGACAGAACGATGGAGAGAAAGAGTTAGGGAGACAGAGAGTGAGAGTGGGAGTTAAAGAGAGACGGAGATAGAACTGCAATGCACACTAGTGGAGTTCTTTCGAAAATCGGCACCAGAACACAACCCCAGTCAGGCCCAGACAACACCGAATTGCGAAAATGAGAAACAGTTTAAAAGATGCGTTGCTCGAAGAAGCCAGCCAGCCGCTGCATGCCGTACCAGCACGATGGTGCACGCCCGCACACAGCCAGAATCAATGCACGTGTGGTAGCAGCGCAGGGGAAAGCAAAAGGGTTCGACATTCGGGTTGTCATTCAGCCGGCTCAAAGTCCCAATCTAAACTTCGACGACTTGGTATTCTTCCACAGCCTGCAGGCAGACTTGTCACTTGTGACGAAGGAAACCAGAAAGAAGCTTCTGCAAGCTGTGGAAACATGTTGGCATGAATACCCAGTTGCCAAGATGAGGAGCATTTGGCTGTGTCTGTATGCCTCTTTCCATCACGGCATTCTGGAGAGTGCCAGAGACAACAACTACCAGCGCCACTTTGGAGGTCGTCAAGCTCACAGTTCTGGCAAAGAACTTGGCGATCTCCATGATTAATTAGTGTCTTGGCAACTTTTAAAGGCTGCGGAACAATAACGAAAGTCAGCGAGGATGCAGACTCAATGTCATCATGGAGTGAGTCGTCATCAGATTCAGAAGAAGAGTGAAGCTCGACTACTTTGAAACGAGCTGTGTGACATCTGTAAATAACTAATCTCTCATAAGCTGCTGTGTTTTCCACTTTTCAAAGTGTGTTTGTAGCCATAACATGCTTATGACTGAACTGTAAATATGCAAGGAAGTTTTGCATGCGGAGGAAGTACGTCATTAGTGGATTGGGTTCGTTCTCAGTGACGTATACATACGTCATTAACGATAAAAGGTTTAATCATGTTTGTGAACAGAGAGTACTTTACCCACTGTGTTGATATGCATGTTCAGAAATCTTGCAAGCAACCCAAAGTGCTCGGGAAGGCAGAGGAAATACTGGCACAACTGCATGACAACATCCAAGCGCCATTCTCAACAAGTCGGGAGTTTTCTCGACAGCTTTGTGCTGCTAGCCACGTAGAGTATGATGACAATGCAGACAGCATCAACACCGAACAAATCCGTCGATATCGCAAGATCCTCAATGCGTATGGCCTGGTATGTACATACTCTGCAGATCGAGTAATTTCAATTTGCTTGCAGTAGATGTATTTCATGTTATGATGTATGTCATGTACCTCATGTACATCTCTTAGGGGTCGTTGCAAAAGTGTTTTATCGTCCCTGAAATGAACATCGCTCATTTCTTACTCGGACACCCTCCACTCCCTTTGAAAGGAACGCAGCTTGCTATGCTGGATGATGAAAATTGCATGCATGTATATGTAGTCATGTACATATGTATAGTATCGGTCGACTTGTGTTTTTTCCAGATTTTTTGGAAACTGGCACCCTAACTTTTTCGTGTCTTCCGCACATAGTTGTAGATATCGTGAAAACAACAGTACATCCGGCATGGTGTGACCCGTGCAATTACTCCTTGCCACATTTGAGGGCAGAAAGACCCAAGAACAGGGAAATAAAAATTCAGCCAGGTTTACAAAATTTGGAGAGGTATGCATGGCAAAGTATGTGGAGAAGCAGATCCCAAACACATATTCTTGAAATTTAAAGTGGATTTTTGATCCTCAATTCGGCCCAAATCGAACTTTCAAAAGCCAGCGGGACAGTTTCCAATGAATGGACTGTAGTGTCGGTCGACTTGCGATTTTTGCCCCCTCCCCCCCCCCCCCCCCACCCCCTCCAACGAACGATGCTTGTTTCAGGGTCGACAAAAAAAAACTTTTGCAACGACCCCTAAAGTGGATTTGTTCTTATCCGTTGGTTTGAGGGAAAGATGCAACCGGTTCCATTTGTTCCTTCTTTTTTTCAAGCCCATATCTAGAACACTATGATGCCCATCCTGCCATTAGCTGTAGTTTATTATCTATTATTCAGTGGTAGACCAGCTATACACCGATACTAGTAGGTGTAAGGCTGTTGGAAACTTCAAGATGAAGTGAAAATTGTGGAACGGGTTTAGTGTGTTGCTGTGCACAATATGGCTAGCTGGGGCTTGACAGCAGGGGACATCACCTACAGATTGCTGGTTTTAGGCTCATAAAGAAATTATTGACAAACGGGTGCATTGTGCTTTGCACCTTTGATGGATTGATCTTCAACAGTGAGTTTCTATGAGGATGTGCTGCATAGTCCTGCTTTAGCTGGCACCAGAGGGTTGCATTTGTGTCCATGAGAGGATACGGCACTTATTTCTGCGCAGCTCAAGCCAGGGCATCTGTACTCGTTTCCCTTACATCCATTTCTTTAAAACTTAGGATGGTTCATTTAACAGTTTCGCATTGTCTCTCAATGTGGGGTCAGGGGAAGTGTGCTGTCATGACGCGTCGATGATTGGCTGGTTGACTTGCTTTGTTTTATTTTATTTTGGAGGTTTTTGGCCTTTTTATTATCCATCTGTCTGCGCATGCGTGTGGAATGTGTGTGCATCCATGTTTGGGCATGTACCGTGCGTCGGCTTACAACTATGTGTGTTGCCATGTGTATGTATTTGCATATCGTGTTTTTGTTTCTAGATTGTTTCTTTCTCATCCCCTGAGCTGGACGACATCATCGTTAACCGACCCAACTGGTTGCTCTCCACGGTCATTGGTCTCATTCTCGCACCACCTGGGCTTGACGATGAAGATATGCTGCACTTCATAGATGGTGTTGCGAAGGTCCAGGAAGTCCTTGGCAAGCTTAACAGCTGCGAGGGAGCAGAAGGTCAGGGCCCCCTGCTGCTGCAGATGGTGATACAACTAGGTGTGTTGCTGCAGGAGAAAGAAAGGATCCTGGCACCCAGCCGTCTTCCGACCGCTGACAACTGCCTCGGCTCACTGGCCAAGAAAGATTCATCATCTCAGTCGGCGTGCGCAGGAGTCTCTTTCACGACTCAGCACTGCTTCTCCACTGCTCTTGTTATCCGGCTACAGACAGAGCTGTACGCCTATTTCCACGAGCTTCACGGCATTCCTGCTGAGCTCTGGAAGAATCTGGTGGTAGTGGCTCCAGTCCATTCCCCAGCCCGTGGTTGCATCTCCGTCACGGACAGCCTGCGCCAAGCCGTCGCTGTTGTCCATGCGCCAGTTGAAGATACGCTAGATGGCTATTGTCTGCTGGCTCTGTTGCGCATGGTGTTTGATAGGCTGGCAGCACAGTATAGCCCGGGCACTAATTACTCCACGAGCATCCTCAGCTCCGCTTCCATTCGTCAGCACATCCACGAGCCAAGTACCAAGTTTGATTTCGCTGTGTACGATGCAGAGCAAGTCAGATCATCTGTAGCAACACAGGGTCATCTCTCCACTAGCCACCGTTACGTCGATCGTGCCCCGCTTCTTCTCAAATGGCCAGTTAACCATGCTTCACTGCTCTCTGCACAGTCCTTTGAGTCCGTCCGAGAAAGCCTTGGTGAGTCCGACCTGCCTGCACTGGCCACCTGCCTGGGCCTTACATCATCATCTTCATCACGTGGGCACAGTAATCATCTACACGCTGCAGCAGCATTGGTCCACAGCTGGGCAGTAACCGACTACCATCACACATCGACCAAGCTTCACCAGCTGCTAGTGAAATCACCGAACGCCCAGCGCTTTGCAAAGATCTGCAAGGTGCTACGGCAGCATGAAGAACTGGTGAGTGTGATCGCCTGTTGCATACCCCCCTCTCTCTCTGTCTCTCTCAGTCTCCCTCAGTCTCTTCCTCTCTCTGTCTATCTCTTTCTCTCTCTCAGTGTCTCTGTCTCTCTGTGTCTCTCTGTCTCTCTCTGCCTCTCTCTCTTTCTCTCAGTCTCTCTGTACTTCACCCCCCCCCTCCCCCCCCCCCCCCTCTCTGCCTATGTCTATCTGTTGATGTATGCAAGTTGTTCCACCATTTTACTCAACAAAACATCTGTCACCTTCCATTCACACATTGACAATTCACAATGCTTTCTCAGCCGTGTTATTCTTCTTTATTTGACTCTCAGTGGTGTGGATGATATTGACACTAACTGATGTTGATATCAGAGCCATGTTTGGTGCTTGTTTGTATCCTTGTTACTCTCCGCACTGCAGCTGGCCACCGATTTCCCGGACATATTCCGGAAGCGTCGGGTGCAAGTCGTCGAGCCGGTCTCCGCCGGAGCTACTTCCTCCACTGTTCCACCAGACTTGTCAGAGAGCGTTCTTTCGAGCAGCCAGTCACACTCTGATCAAGCCAGTCCATCCACTGCCGCTCGGCAAGATGATGCTGGTAAAGTTGAATGTTCTCAATACACCATGTGTGCTCCCTGTATGCTAGTGTTAGTTTACTTGTGTGCAAATGTCTACTTCACACTATCTTGCAACACAACTTGATCTATGGGCTTGCTCAGGTCCCAAAGAGAACTTCTGTTTGCATGGGATTCTATACGAAAAAAAAGAATAATTTCCTCTGTGGATAATGAACACGTGACTGGTTTGGTATGTGTGTTATGCTTACCTTTATGATTTGATACCCATTCCTATAATCGAATATTTCTGCACAGAGACATGGATAGTTTCTTTAAAATTCAGTTTTCTGTTCTTTCCTGTTGAATGTTCCAGGCAATGCTGAGCATCACGCTGCTGATGGAAGCTGTGGAATTTTCCTATCCACTTCCCCACTGTAAGTTCTACGCATGCATTGCTCAACAATGAAGTATAGAACAGTTGAATCAGTCCTAGGTAACATTCAGTGAAATGTACTGCACCATTTCCAACATAATGCGTCAGGCCGGCCCAGTGAGTGAGTTCTCTGACCATGATTGTGCAATGACAGGTATAGATGTATCATGATCAAGTCTTGACTTGAAGAGGATTGCTTCAACTGTGCTGTACACCACAGTGAGTTGGGAACACGAGGTGTGGAAAACAGGGCAACATTGATGCAGAAGGTGGGTTTTCACCTTTGCCCATAAAATTATACTGAAATTGGTGGATCCTACTTTTTCTCTCCATCCGTAAAGAAGCGGCAGCTGACGTCTTTCATGTGGTCTGGTCATGTTGTCTTTTCCTGTGGTTTTTTCATGTGGTATTTTCATGTGGCGGTGTCGTCATCCCTAGAAACCAGAAAGGTCTTATTGAGCTGTGTAGTTCCCAGATCCTCTTTAAAACACCCTTCCCTATTTGAAGTACATAATCAGAAGAAAGTAAAGATCGCAGATACGCAACAAAACCGGCTATGCAATTGTGTTGAGAAACACAACCAGTTTAGGAAGTTTTGCTTGTACAAGGCCACCACCATGCCTGAGATACCAGGGTGGCAGATATAGCACGTGACAGCGAGGGTGACTTAGTAAGTATCACAAGCAATGCCTGACAAGGTGCAAACTTCATTAGCTGCATCTATGTTACCCTCACTTCGAATACAGTGTAGTGAGTAGCCACTTGACAGTGGTTGTCAGAGCAATTAACTGCATGTAAAGTGCTTCACGCTTGCATCACAGCATTTGTTAGCAGAGTACACGCTCACTGGTGTCAGCACTGGTCTTGAACTCAGAACCTTGCGATTGGCAGGAAAGTCCACACCACTCGGCCAAAGTACTGGTCAGTAGGCAGTGGCAATAATTTCCTTACACTGCTCGCTTAATGACATGTTTTGAAAATTATCAATTCAGCAGGAAATTGTGGTGAGTGCATGCCTAAAGCCTGGTGTCAGGTAAAGTGTGTGAAGAGACCTGCGGGCAGAATTGTAGGCAGTAGTGTAGGCGTGTAGGCAGAAGTGTAGGCAGTTGTGTAGGCAGTAGTGTAGACAGAAGTGTGGGTAGAATTGTTGGCAGTTGTGCGGGAAAGTAGTGTATGCAGTAGTGTAGGCAGTAGTGTAGGCGGTAGTGCGGGCAGTAGTGTAGGCAGTAGTGTAGGCAGTAGTGTGGGCAGTAGTGTAGGCAGTAGTGTAGGCAGTAGTGTAGGCGGTAGTGTGGTTAGAATTGTCGGCAGTTGTTCGGGAAGTTGTGCAGGCTGCACTGAGGACTGAAGGCAGTTGTGTAGGCAGTAGTGTAGGCAGTAGTGTAGGCAGTAGTGTAGGCAGTAGTGTAGGCAGTAGTGTAGGCAGTAGTGTAGGCAGTAGTGTAGGCAGTAGTGTAGGCAGTAGTGTAGGCAGTAGTGTAGGCAGTAGTGTAGGCAGTAGTGTAGGCAGTAGTGTAGGCAGTAGTGTAGGCAGTAGTGTGGGCAGTAGTGTGGGCAGTAGTGTAGGCAGTAGTGTAGGCAGTAGTGTAGGCAGTAGTGTAGGCAGTAGTGTAGGCAGTAGTGTGGGCAGTAGTGTAGTCGGTAGTGTGGTTAGAATTGTCGGCAGTTGTTCGGGAAGTTGTGCAGGCTGCACTGAGGACTGAAGGCAGTTGTGTAGGCAGTAGTGTAGGCAGTAGTGTAGGCAGTAGTGTAGGCAGTAGTGTAGGCAGTAGTGTAGGCAGTAGTGTAGGCAGTAGTGTAGGCAGTAGTGTAGGCAGTAGTGTAGGCAGTAGTGTAGGCAGTAGTGTAGGCAGTAGTGTGGGCAGTAGTGTAGTCGGTAGTGTGGTTAGAATTGTCGGCAGTTGTTCGGGAAGTTGTGCAGGCTGCACTGAGGACTGAAGGCAGTTGTGTAGGCAGTAGTGTAGGCAGTAGTGTAGGCAGTAGTGTAGGCAGTAGTGTAGGCAGTAGTGTAGGCAGTAGTGTAGGCAGTAGTGTAGGCAGTAGTGTGGGCAGTAGTGTGGGCAGTAGTGTAGGCAGTAGTGTAGGCAGTAGTGTAGGCAGTAGTGTAGGCAGTAGTGTAGGCAGTAGTGTAGGCAGTAGTGTAGGCAGTAGTGTGGGCAGTAGTGTAGTCGGTAGTGTGGTTAGAATTGTCGGCAGTTGTTCGGGAAGTTGTGCAGGCTGCACTGAGGACTGAAGGCAGTTGTGTAGGCAGTAGTGTAGGCAGTAGTGTAGGCAGTAGTG